TGTACAATACTTTGTCCCTAAGAACCCTGACCAAGTATTACATTTGGCTTTATGAAATGAAAGATCAGCTGGAGGAGCTGTATCTTCTTTCAGGGTACATGCTTCTATTAACTTGTTTGAAGTTATGAACCTAAAGCGATTCCCTGCACAAAGATGTATAATTCACCTAGAAACGTAATTTACTCTGTGGTCTGGTGCTTTCATGGCTGCAGCTTATGGATATAATTTAGTTTTTGAAGATTAAATCATAAGCTTTTAAACTCAAATGTATCTCATTATAAACATTCTATTTGCCATCTTATGTTTTTTTATTCTCTAACCTCATGACAAGGCCATAGCCACACCCTCTCCAGCTCTTTAAATGGAGCCAGCTGTCCCTCCCACACACAGCCCAAGTGCCCCAACCCTGTGTAACGCCCCCAGGCCCACTGCTTACTCCTCTCCTTCCCTGGTCCCGGACATACTATTGTAGCTCTGCTTTCTTTTTCCCGTTGTCTGAACTGCTCCTCACCCATTTTAAAACCATTTTTGCATACCTTGGCAGTCTTACCATAGCTACTTCCCAACTCTGAACTCTCCATTTTTTTCCAAATATATTTTTAACTTACTAGTGTGTGTGTGTGTGTGTGTGTGTGTGTGTGAGAGAGAGAGAGAGAGAGAGAGAGAGAGAGAGAGAGAGAGAGAGATCAATTTGTTGTCCCATTTATTTATGCATTTATTGGTTGATTCTTGTATGTGCCCAGCCCAGACCAAGGATTGAACCTACAACCTTGGCACATATGGATGATGTTCTAATAAACTGAGCTACCCAGCCAGAGTGCACTCTCCATTTTAATTTCACCCATAATTTCCAAAACTGGTTCTCTCCCAACTGGAACTGGGGAAACTGAGTGGCCAGTCCAGGTCCCTAATCTTCCTCCCTCCATGGGAGGAAAACTGCTCTGCCCAGCCCGGGCACAGAGACTCTTGATGGATAAACATAAAATGTTACCCCCGCAGGCTACAGGTAAGAGCCTACTTGAAGGACTTGAATCTCTAACCCAAAAGCTACATTCACAATTCCATTCAATCTTATCTGGCCCATAAGACAAGAACCAAGTACAGGAACAAATTCCATTCACATTCACATTGTGAAAATACTACATGACTACGATGTGTTTTGTTTTACTAACCAGAAAAAGAGACCTAAGATGCTTAACGGAAGGATTATTACTTTGCAATGGGAAATCTAGCCATTCTTGACAGAGCAGGAATCTACAGGTTGCAGACATTGAACATGTCAGGCTTCTAAAAAGACTATAATTTTAAACATTTAGCAAAAACTACCAACTCCTGAAGATATTGATTCCTTTCATCCAAACATCTGGTATGTCTTTTGTCCCCAGAAACGATCACATTTAAGTTAGTATTTGCATCTACAAGTCTTAGAAAATACAGATAAATTTCTCTACAGAATATTCTTTCTCTTTGATTTACTAGTTTCATAAATACCTGTTCTGTTATGGTACAATACGCCGTATTATTAAACAAAAGTAGAGGGTTAAAAGTATCGATAGAATGGCACCATTTGTGTTAATAATAAAAAATATACATAGGTAGGTATATAGAGAGATGATAAATAGATACATAGGTAATAACTGGATAAGGACATGCTTGAATACAGAGAACATATTTCTGAAAGAAGTTTCAAGAAGTTGATAGTTATTGTCTCTACTTAGGAGACTCATAGACTGGAAGATGGATTGGAAGGAGATCTATTTTTTACTGTTGGCTTTTTGTACTAGGTATTTTTTATGTATAATATATTCTGATATAAACATAAGCATAAAGATGAACAAGCACACATACACACACACACACATACAGAAAGTAGTAGGTAATCCTAACTCTAAATTGAATTTATGACTGTGACCAATTCATCTTATAAAAGTAGGTGTCACTACTCTTGAAAAAAATTAGCCCCAAGTATAGAATGTCTTGATTACTAAGAGTATTAAATTGGATAAATTTATATTCTGTTTCTGAATACAATGAAATAGAAAGGAACCACAATTTTATAGCTTGGATATGTAATGAAACAATTAAAATAATGATAAAGAGAAATAACTTATTTTACATGTTTCATCTTTAAAAAGTCTCTTGAAGAAGGGACTCTAAACAGATACTAAAGTCAGTATTTAAGGTAATTTTTCAATAAGATTAAAATTAGACTTGAAACTATCCGCCATTGAAATAAATTTTCTCAGGCTTACCAGGTAAAGAAGCTCCTACAGAAAGAGTATTTTCCTTTAAAAAAAATTTTTTTTAATCAATTTCAGAAAAGGAGAGGAAGAGGTGGAAACATCAATGCTGAGAAACACTGATTGGCTGCCTCCTGCATGCTGGGGACAGAACTCACAATCCAGTCATGTGCCCTGATCATGAATCAAACAGAACCTCATGGTTCACAGATGAATGCTCAACCACTGAGCTGCAATGGCCAGGTAAGAATATTTTCTTAATTAAAAATAGTATGGTCTACAGAGAAGTGCCAATTGAAGCTGATGAAAATCTTAAAAATACTACCAGAAGGGCAACTTTGTAGATGATTGCAGGCAATTTTATGAAACAAGTAAATATAAGATCTCATTGAGAAGAAAAAAAAAGACTAATAATACATAAAAATACTCAGAAAAATGCCAGCCACCTGGCATCAGAGACAAGTATGGTTAAGAAACTAATTAACATAAACACATACAAAGAATAATTTTTAATTTTTTGCCATAATGTACATGTAGTACTTTAATTTTTTTTACTGTTAAGAATAATCTCTAATGGAACTATTTGTGTTCTATTATAGTACAAAAACAGTTTTACCTGACCTATACATATTTCAAATATTCTTTTTAAATGTTGTAATTCACCCTGGCTGGTGTGGCTCCATTAGTCTGGCATCGTCCTGTGCACTGAAAGGTTGCTGGTCCAATTCTTAGTCAGGGCACATGCCTGGGTTGTGGGTCTGATCCCCTGTAGGGGGCATGCAGGAGGCAGCCCATCAACGTTTCTCATATCAATGTGTGTGTTTTTCTCTCTATCTCTCCCGCTCTTCCTTCTTCTCTAAAAATAATTTTTTAAAAAAGTTATGTAATTCCAATCAATTTTATTACCTCTTTTTATTCTCAAAGTTGCCCTGGTTTAGAAAATATATGACATGGTCACACTAGTGGGAGAGAATCAATGATGTTGATCAGCTCAGACACTGTGGGACCTAGTTTCACTGCCAGTTAAGTATTTGACTTCTTTCTCATTCTCTTCTCATTATCCACTAAAATAGACAGTATGGACTGCTTAAGAGTTGAACAGGGAGGTCAGGCATTTTTGAGATTTTTTTGTAAACCTCTCCCAGTCCAGAACAAGGTGAAAGTGTTCCTACCCTCCTCTGAAAGAGGAAAGCATGAATCACTGCCCAGCTCACTCCTCACTTGGCAAACTCTGGACTTCACATTAAAATTGTAGGTCAAGTTCATTAACCATTATCAGACAGAATTCCATTTGTATAGCCTGTCCCAGGAAGGTTCCCTTTGAGGAGCCTTCAAAAGAAAGGAAGCAGATCTAAACAAATCCACAAATCTGTGTGATAGAACTAGATACTACAGCCTGGATATGTGGGCTTCCTCTCGGGATCAGAGGGAGGTTCAATGAAGAAAACTATTATTATAACTATCCTATGTGAAATGAGAAAGCCCATTTGTCCATCTATAGAGAACTCCTGATTTTGAGAGGTGTAGCATAGAAATACCTAATGGCTCCTTTCTTAACAGGGTCAATCAAACCCACACTACATCTAAAGTTAAAATACTGGAAGCACACTCACTTCCATGTCAGAAGCAAGACAAGCATCACCCCTCTTAAGCAGTGCATGTGTTTATATATTGAGTAATTAGACAAAAAGAAAGAAAGAGAGGAAGGAGGGAGGAAAAAGTCAAGGGAGGAAGAGAAGGGAAAGAAAAAAGAAAGAAGAAAAGTTTACAGAACAATATCCTTGATTAAGGATCAGCAAACATTCTCTGTAAAAGGCCAGACAGTGAATATTTTAGGACGTGGCATCCCTTCTCCTAGGACTCAGCATTGCAGTTACTGTGCAGACATTGCCATAGGCAAAACCTAAGGAAATGAACTCAACTGGGCTTCATCCAGTAATCTCCACTATGGACACTGAAATTTCAATTCCATGTAATTTTCACATGTCACAAAATATGATTCTTTGACCCCACCACCACCACCACTACCCATTTAAAAATGTTAAACTAATTCTTAGCTCCTGCATTGTCCAAAAACAGATGGGGCAGATTTGGTAACCCTATCCTAGATCATTTGAACAGTGATTAACTTGGGGAAGTGGAACTTGAGGGGTGTGTGTTTGTGTGTGTGTGTGTGTGTGTGTGTGTGTGTGTGTGTGTGTTGGGTGGGGTGCCCAATGAAACGCAGTACTGAAGGGAAAAAATAATTTTACTTTTTGTTTTGATACAACTCTATACTTGAAAGATGTTAGACCATAATTATGGATTAATTATTAAAAATTTTTAATCTATTAGATAAATATAATCACACTTACTATCTAATTGCCTGTTTTTCTTTGTTTTTCTTTTTTTTTCTTTTTTTGCATAGTGAGGTAAAGGGTGTTCTAGAAAGACTGTAAAGAGTAATCAAATTATAAAAATGTTGAATTCTAACACAGGGTTTTCTTTTCTCTCTGGGTTGAAAAGGACCTGGTCCCCTTAAGCTATTAATTGCATCCCTGTCAACAGAGCAACCCTTAGGAATTTCTGTTTGCTTTATATCTAATCTGCAAGCCTCGCTGAGCTTTCGTTGAGAACAATGGTGTATACACACAGTTCCTGCATTCAGACCAGTTCCTTTCTTCCCCCCTGATTTTTTTCCTGGTGTTGAACTCCAGCCAAACATTAAGTTACCTTGGGAAGTAAAAGGTAGAAGAGAGAAGAAAAAAAATCCCAAAGGTTGTATTTGGCCTCATTTTAGAAGGACACTCAATCTGAATTCAGAGAACAAGGGAAGTGTTTTTCGCATGAGGAGCATGAGAACGGGAGAGAAGTCCAGGGTTCTTTAGACAGCCTGTTTTTGTATGTTTGCAGGTGAGTGTGCTCTGGTTTCCATGCAGGTGGGGCTGCAGGGCAGGGGTGTGGGTGTGTGTGCTTGTCTAGGTCTATAAATCCACGCCCATTTTTAACCAGAAACATCCAGAATACACTTCCAGCAAGAGCACTGGCTGGTTCAGGTAAGAAATTATTTAATCAGTGGTTAAGCTCTGCTCTACTTAAGTATTCCACGTATGTACTGCTATTCCGATGCGAGGTCTTCAGTAGAGGGTAGGGAATGTCCCATAAAATTGCATATTTTTCTTTTAATGCACTGGATTCTCTTTGCTGGCATTGTGCTTTTATTTTCTATGATGTTGTTGTTATAAACTAGCATTGACCAAAAATGATCCTTCAAAAAAGTATGCTACAAGGAACACTTGTTTTTCCCAGTTTTCTTTTCAATGTTGTTTTCTTTTTAAAATAGAAATTTTATATGACATCTAAATAAATGGTTTATGTTAATGTACTTTTTAAAAAAGTAAAATATTGGTGTCAAAAAAATATGAGATGCTCACTGGCCAATGTTTACAACATCTAATTGCAGCCAACAGGTTATTGCCTCCTGAGCGCTGCCATAAGGCTGTCACCATGGCGTTGCCATGGGTTCCCCAGCAGCTTAGTCTGGCACTGGGGTGAGGGAACCCTCAGTAGTCAGCATTCTCTTTTCCCGAGGAAAAACATGTTGGTCCGAAAACAAAAATATATAAATTGATCAGCTTTATCATAGAATATATTTAATACCTCTTTTGCATTCTTTTACCAGAGAATGTAAAGCAAAAATTCAATATTTTGATTTTTTTTTAAGAACTGTCTTTAACAATAATACATAATAAGTTGAAATTTGAAAAGAAAAGTGTGATTCCCATTCTACTATAAACTTGGCAGCTCTCAGTCAGGAAGGCATGAAGTTACACTTTCTCTGTTTGAATATAGATTTCACCTACTTTAAGCACAAAGAAATTTAAAAATGGGTTCATTGCAGATTAGGAAGGTAAATGATTTAAATAGAGGGGGATTGCAGGGAGAGACCACTGACAAGGAAAAGATGCTGGATGAGGGGAATAAGAAAGCGTCTAGAGAACCCTAGAATCTATAAACTCCCCATCACTGAATTGTTCTCTCCATGACTATGATTGCTATAATATATAATGAACTTTTTAACACTGTCAAACAGTAAGTTATTTTAAGGTGCATTTGGCTTATTAATATTTCAATTTACCCCAATGCCTAATACAGTTACATATAGCAATATTCATGTTTGTGCAGAATCGCAAAATGGTCATTCTCTTCTTTTGGTGGGAAATTCACTATTAAGTAATGTAAGTCCACAGGAAAACTGCTCTGAAGGAATCTATATAATAAAAGGCTAATATGCAAACTGACCAAATGGCAGACTGATTGCTATGATGCACACTGCGCTCAACACAGGAGCTGCCCCCTGGTGGTCAGTGCATTCTCACAGGGGGAGCACTGCTAGGCCAGAAGCCCAGCTTACCGCTGGCAAGCCTAGTGGCAGTAGTAGGAGCATCTCCCACCTCCGCAGCAGTGCTAAGGATGTCTGGCTGCCAGCTTAGGCCAACTCCCCGGGCCTAAGGATGTCAGTCAGACATCCCCAGAGGGGTCCCGAACTGCAAGAGGGTGAAGGCCAGGCTGAGGGACACCCAAGTGTACAAGTTCCGTGCACCAGGTCTCTAGTTTTAAATAAACATGAAAGATGTCTGTACATTTATTTTATATTTTGCAATAATTTCAAAACAGCACATGTTAACTACTTTTCACATGGATTTTATATGCCACAAATGCTTTAACTGTACATCTAACAAGCATTATACATATCATGTAAGATATTTATCAAGTAGTTGAAGTCTGGCTCAGATCCAACTCTAGACTTTTCATTATATCTTTTTTTTTTCTTTTTTTTTCTTTTTAATATATTTTATTGATTTTTTACAGAGAGGAAGGGAGAGGGACAGAGAGTTAGAAACACCGGTGAGATAGAATCATCGATTAGCTGCCTCTTGCACACCCCCTAATGGGGATGTGCCCACAACCAAGGTACATGCCCCCAACCGGAATCGAACCTGGGACCTTTCAGTCCGCAGGCCGATGCTCTATCCACTGAGCCAAACCGGTTTTGGCTAGACTTTTCATTATATCTTAACTTGCAGAGTATAAGGGACAGTACATTGACTTAAAAATCCATTTGAATCCTAGCTAACCAACGGATAACTATAGATGCAGCAAACCTGTTCTTCTTTACACTTATATTTAATTTATAGCAATCTGACAATAAACTTGATTGCTAAAAGAGCTGGTTTGTAAGCTGAAAGGCAAAAGGCTGAGTCACTGATGCAAGAATGAAAATGATAAATGACTACAGAGGACCTGAAAAACAAGAATCTCCAAATTCTATTTTTCCCTCTGAACTCAATTGTAAGCAATAGTGTTCATGCCTAATCATATTATCTTGGCACAGAGATCAAGAAGAGTCAAAGGAATATGCATGCATGCCAAAAGTCACCTTTGCATTGCACTTTAGAGTTGAAAGGTCTTTAATAAACTTTATATTATATGAGTGTCGCTGCAGTGCTGTGAGCCCTAAAACACAGTCTAATGTGAGCTTTGAGTGCCCTGATCCAGTTTTCTTTCAACGTCATTGTACTGCTCCCAGCATGCCCAGAATGTGGTTTTTCACCAAGTGGACATTATTGAGTTGATAGCATTTTAAAAATATTTTATAAATAGCAAGTGAATGAGCCCTGACCGGTTTGGCTCAGTGGATAGAGAGTTGGCCTGCGGACTCAAGGGTTCCAGGTTCGATCCCGGTCAAGGGCATATACCTTGGCTGTGGGCACATCCCCAGTAGGGAGTGTGCAAAAGGCAACTGATCAATGTTTCTCTCTCATTGATGTTTCTGTCTATCCTTCTTCCTTCCTCTCTGTAAAAAAAATCAATAAAATAAAAATAAATAGCAAGTGAATGAGAGTTCTGGGAGGTTTTATCATGTCAACTCACACAAGCAGAGCAAACTCTCTGATTTTTAAATGACTGCTGGAAGTAACTACTAGATTCTGAACATTCTTTTCTACCACCTAGCTTCTTCTGAGGGATTCTCCAGAACACATGATGTTACCCTCAGCTTTGGCCCTCTGCCTGTTCCTGGTTGCAGTTTCTTCCAACCTTGCCATCGCCATCAAGAAAGAGAAGAGGACTCCTCAGACACTCTCAAGAGGTACTAGAATCTCATTTTATTCCCTATATGCAGCCATTTGGATGGTTTTCAAATTCCAAGTCTCTTATCCATATTTTACATTTAAAGCAAACTCAATGAACTGGAATATTTTGCTGTTTACCACATTAAAGTAGGCAAAAACAAAACCCAGAAAAGAGCAGTTGATTTTAAAGACTGAACCAGCCCTAGCTGTTGTTGTTGTCTCAATTTGTTGAGCATTGACCCACACACCAAGAGGCAACTAGTTTCTGGGTAGGGCTTGAGTTGCCAGCTCAATTCCCAGTAGGAGCCATGTAAGAGGCAGCCAATTGATGTTTTTCTTCATCTCCCTTCATCTATCAATATAAACATATATTTTTTAAGTTAAAAAAAAAAAGAATGAATCAAAGCAACTGAAAACCAATAATAATTTGCTATAGTGTTTATAGAAATAGTGATGAATTGGTTTGGTGGCCTGTAACTTTGGTAACCAGAGTCCTAGGAAATAATAATTGATGTCATAATGATATCTTAAAGGAAATTAAGATCTCTCAAAATCTGCTCCAATTCCCTATCTTCTATTCATGCAAAAATAATAATTTGGAATGATTTTATACCATAATCCCCAGAAATTGTATTTTATTCTATCCTCTAAAAAATTTGGGTAAACAAATGTTTGCTATATTGACTCGAAAAAAACAACTGCAGTGGTTTTTGACATCATAATCCAGGTCTATCATTGGCTACATGTTTAGAAAACATTTCTACTTTGTACTTAGTACTTTCCTTTGACCTAAAAAAGCAAATATATCTTTATCTGCAAAGAAACAGTTTATAGAGAAATTTCTCAAAATCAGCTCCTACATTTTCAGGTAACAAAAATGGGAGAAAAATCATTTATCTCCATATAGCTAATTTAAAAATAGTAGTACAAACCTCAAAACACTTGACCACTACTTGGAATAGTACATGAATGGAGCAAACAAATGGAGACCGATTATAACATAATTTCAAATTTTAAAATATTGACTTTCCAAGTTTGTAATTTCTTAACAGCTGTATGAGTACTAGCCAATTAGCCATCAAAGTTCAGCCAAGTTACTTCATTCTGGTTTAGTTCAAAACCACAAAAACTATAAACTAAAAAGTCTAGCAAGTTTTGAAAAAGAAGTAAATTAAAAGAAGAAGAAAAATATTTTCCTAAATATAATTTATCACCAATCTCTCTGTATAAACACAAGAGTTATAAAGCAATGAGCTCAGTAGTCTTGAGTGGTATACTAAATTTATCATAGCTAAAAATAGAATTGTGGTAATGAACCAAGTCATTGAAGAGAGGTCAAGCTCAGTATCACCTTTGGCCTATTGTGATTATGAGATAACGTGTATAACCAATAATTATAATGCAATATGGCTCCTCTACAATGAAATTCCTGAGAGCAGGAATTATGTTATCTCACCTTTACATACCCAGTGCTGGAGGAGTAAGGCATAGAGCAGATGTTGCTCTACTATTTGTAAGACTAAGTGGAACAGGAGCAGAGAATAGTAATCCCTCCCCTTCCTGAAATTCCATCATTGAGTGATATTTTCCACAGAATAGAAAAATTAAATAGGATCCCAGTCTCACTGGCTGTTTCTGAATAACTCTTATTTAGTGCAAAACATGGTGTGAAGTTACTACAGCAAAGCTGTAAAGAAACTCTTTCAGGATTATTACAGATAGAAGGGGTATTAAACCAACATAATATGTCTTCCAATATTAAGCTACTAACATCAGGCAAAAACAAGCCAATAGCATTACTAGTGAGAGTACAAAATAGTGCAATCATTTGAATAAAATCTAACAGTTCTTCAACTGATTAAATGTAGATACCAGATGACCCAGCAATTCTATTCCTAAGTAGATAGCCCAAGATAAAAATATATTCACACAAAAGCTTGTATACTAATGTTCAAAGCAGCATTATTCATAAAAGGCAAAAAGTAGAAACAACCCCAGTGCTCAACTGATGAATGAATAAAATGGGGTATATCCATACAATGGAATAATATTTGGCTGTATAAATGAAAGAAGTGATAATATATGACACAACGCAGATGAACCTTGAAAACATTATATTAAGTAAAAACATCCAGTTACAAGACTACATATTGTATGATTCCATTTATATGAAATATCTAAAATAAAAAATGTATAGAGACATAAAGTAGATTAGGTATTTTTTTAGCATTGGGGGAGAAGGGGGAGTAAGAGGATGATAGCTAAAGGGTACCGGGGTTTTATTTGAAGCTATGAAAATGTTCTAGGTTTGATTATGGTGATAGTTGCACAACTTTGTGTATATATATATTTTAAAAAGTGCACTTTCAATGGATAAATTGCATTTGCATGTGGATTACATTTAAATACAGTTGTTACCAAAAAGTAAACAAAGCAAAAAATAAAACAAAACAAAAAATCCAACAAGCAAAAATCATGGAAATGTGTTTATCTTACTTTATAATATTGCTTCATAATTTTTGGCCATCTAATAGCCATGGTATCAAAATCAGAAACTGCAGTCTGACAACATAGGAAACATACAGGAAAATCTGAGTCTAAATTAGCATAGAAATATCTCTATTTTCAAATTGATTCAGTCTTTCTTACCCATAAACCAAGATACTTCCTGAAAATACCCTGTAGTATTTCTGAATGTCTTTTGTGTGTTCTCCTCAATGATCTTATTCTTTAATCTCTAAAACACATTCCCAATTACCTTTATCACTTTTGTAAAAGCTAGTGGATCTCTCTCTATTCATTGTTTTCTGTTTCTCTAGCCTTTATTCTTCTGAATGCTTCAAGGACACCTGTGTTTATTGTGTGTCTCAACCATGAAATAACAGATTTTTTTCCGAATCAAAATATTGAAGCAAAAATTTGGAATTCTTTTTTCCATTTTCACAACGTTTAAGGATTTAGAAGGGGTCAGCATTCCTTGGCACTCAAAATACAAGGGCACTATATAGTATGGTTCAAAGGTATTCCTATTAGACTTACAAAGTGTACAAAGATTAACTGTTATTTTCTGCTGTTCATTCTGAAATCAGAGGTTTTGCACAGTCCAGAGATGTCCTTTCAATCATCACTAACCATAGCATTTATTGAGCACTTTCTGGGTTCAAGGCCCTGGACCTTTAGTGTTGAAACCCAATCTCAAAATCTCAGCCCTATGATCTGTAAGGATACCACCTCTTCATATCTAATTATAATTATACTAGAGGCCCAGTGCATGAATTTGTGCATGGGGTTGGGGGGGTGGGACTGCAAGAGGTTGGCTGGCCTGGGGGAGGGACTGTGGGTGGTTGGCCAGCTGCTGGAAGTTGCCTGTGGGAACACACTGATCCTCAGGGGGCAGCTCCTGCATTGAGCACCTGCCCCCTGGTGGTCAGTGCATATCATAGCAACTGGTCAACCAGTTGTTCTGGTTGTTCTGTCATAACAGTCACTTAGGCTTTTATAGATAGATAGATAGATAGATAGATAGATAGATAGCCAGCCTTTATATCATATACCAGGCAACTGCTTGGTAGCTTACTAGTAAGTATCTGTAGATAGATATCTGCTTGTCACATGCCTACTTCGGAGCTCCTCTGTGGTCCTGAATCAATGCATTGATTTCTCTTCTATTCTAGGATGGGGAGATGACATTACTTGGGTACAGACTTATGAAGAAGGTCTCTTCCATATTCAAAAAAGGTAAAACACTTCTCTGTTAATTTTGACAGACCATGTAGATACCTCTCACAGAAGAGCCAAACCTTGCAAGTTAGCTTTTGAAAAGATATCATACGCATTTGCTCTACTATCATGCAACTAAGAGTTGCCATTAGAATGGGGTTTTTTTTTTTACAAACAGAAGCTCTAAATTAATTTCTTTTTAAATATTTTTATTGATTTTTAGAGAGGGAGGGAGGGAAACATTTATGCAAGAGCCAAATGTTGATCAACTGCTTCCTACACACCCCCTACACCTAGAAACTGAGCCCACAACCTGGGCATGTGCCCTAATCAGGAATTGAACTGGCAACCTTGTGGTGCCTGGGACAATAACCAATTGAGCCACATTGTCCAGGGCTGTATTAATTTCTTAATTGACCAAGCAAGCTTTTGAATACAAGTTATATTATATAAAAGAACAATATCTGTCAGTAGGCACAAAAACTTTTTCTCAGAGTGTTAAAACCAAAATGAAACCAAAAATGTTGAGAGAGGGAACTCTCACTGAGATTGTATACTGTGAGTTGTTACAAGAATGATAGGATGTGAAAATAGTCAAATATTAATAGCAGTTTTGCAAAGACTAAAAAAAAAACAACAAAAAAAAAACACACACAAAACACCAAAACTGAAATAAAAACTTTGACTCTCCTGAACTCTTATACCAGATGTTCATTAGCAATTAATATCTTGTTTATTATATCCTTTTATCTCTTGAGACAATTAATTTTTACTCTTATAACAAAGTAGCATAGCAATCTGGTGGCGAGCTTGTTAAGCCTCAGATTCCTGGACCCCACCCCAGAGAGCCTGAGTGGGTCTGGGAGGGAGAATTTCCACTTCTACTGAGCTACCTGGCAATGCTCAAGTCCTGAAGCCATGTACTGGGTAACACTGCTACCGACTGCATTGCTATGCTGTGTCAATCAGATTTTTACTCTAAATCTTGTTATAAGTGTGAAAACCTTAAATCTAATTTCAATGTGCATTCTGACTCAGAGTTAGTCACCTGACTCAGCTCCACACTCTTTCTGTTTAGCAACAAGCCACTGATGGTCATTCATCACTTGGAGGATTGTCAATACTGCCAAGGTAATTTCAGCTCCTCAGATTGTATTATATTTCCAAGAGAACTAGAAAAAGTGACCTGGTAAAAATTGTTAAGACAGCACTCAGGAAATACCATAAAAAAAAAGACAACTGCTATATCACTGTATCACCATTTTACTCAGTGCTTAAAGACTACAATTATGGTTAGCAATCTATTGAACAGAGTTTTATTTCCCTCTTCCTTCCACCAAAAATAAAAGGGTGTGTGTGTGAAAAAAACTTGCTGTTTGTGCCAATGTGTTACATAAAATTATAAAATTGGTGGCTTCATTAAATTGGATTATAACTCTGATATCTTCATTGGCAGACTCTATCCATTGTTGCTTCTCAGTGAAAGACAAAGTGGCCAGAGGCTAATGAACTGGTTACAGCCAAGATACCAACACAAACAAATAGGAAATACTAGTTTGACTTTGCTATGTTATTTATAGTGAAGGCGTCTTTATCCTTAAAGCTGACTGGTGTTCATGTTATGTTATCCTCAACAGCACTCAAAACAGTGTTTGCCCAAAATGAAGAAATACAAGAAATGGCTCAGAATAATTTCATCATGCTGAATCTCATGGTACTTGGCCACTACAATGTTTTCTTCATATCACAATTCAATGGAAAGCTTAAATCCCTTTTTTAAAATCTATTTTTAAGACAAAAAGAGGTATAAAAATTTTGTAGGTATAAAATGTTATAGGAATTTTAAAAGGCCAAAATATATAATTTAATAAAAAACTTGTTCATATAAAATATTTTCAAAAACAACAGTCAAAAACAATGCAATCTGATACCAATTATTTTTTTGTCTTTTCTTCCTAGCATGAGACCACAGATAAAAATCTATCACCAGACGGCCAATATGTTCCTAGGATCATGTTTGTGGGTATGTGTATAATCTCAATCCATCAGGTTTACAAAATCAATAGCATTCTTATTTTATTTATTTTAAATGCTAGTTCAAAGGAAGTCAAGTCTAACCCAGTAAATAATAACTCTTGTTAGCTCTATAATTAAAATTCATTGCATCTATAATGTATAAATTTAAATATTTTTAAAACTAATGATCCTATTAAACCAATAACCCAATATACTTTCTGTAAAGTTTCCCAAACTGTATTGACAGAAAACTATGACACACTAAAATGGAAAAATTCATGTTAACTCATCATAAATTGTTTAACATTTATTTGTTTTAGATTAAGAGGCAAGAATGATTTTTTAAAACATTTAGGTAATGCATTGGTGAATTATTTTTTCTTTGCAGATCCTTCTTTAACAGTCAGAGCTGATATAACTGGAAGGTACTCTAATAGACTGTATACATATGAACCACAGGATTTACCAATATGTAAGCATTCACAGATTATCTTGAACAGTGGGACTTTAGAAAGATCAAAAAGGTCCATGATGTCCTACGTCAGTGCTTCCCCACAAGCAGTACCATCAAAAAATCAGAATACTGGGTTACATGGTGGTGGTAGTGTTTAAAAATGCAAATCGTTGCACCACCAGTGTGTCTCTGTGGGTAAGGGGCTACCTATGAACCAGGAGGTCATGGTTTGGTTCAATTCCCAGTCAGGGCACATGCTCAGATTGTGGGCTTGATCCACAGTGGGGGCATGCAGGAAGCAGCCAATCAGTGATTCTCATCATTGATGTATCTATCTTCTCTCCCTCTTCCTTTTTGAAATCAATAAAAATATATATTTTAAATAATGCAAACTCTTAACTCCTATCAAAATCAGAATTTCTAGGCACCTCAGAACCTCTTTTTTAACAGGGATGTGTAATAATTTCTACAATAACTAATTTGGAGACCATTAAAAAGAATAGAATATACATTAAAATTAAACTTTAAGAAAGCCAATTCATTTTGTGGATATCCACAATCATATATGATTTCCTCAAAGTGGTAATAATTAAATCTTTTTCTCTCCTTTTAATGCCTGTAAGCAAGGAGATGCAGTCTGTTTTAGGATTTTAATCTAATCTTTACAACATTCATTGTCAATTATATTTAACTAGAAGCCCAGTGCACAAAGTTGTGCACCAGTGGGGTCCCTTGGCCTGGTCTGCAGGATTGGGCCAAAACCAGCTCTCCGACATCCCCCGAGGGGTCCTAGATTGTGAGAGAGAGCGCAGGCCAGGCTGAGAGACCCCATCGGTGCACAATTAGGACTGGGGAAGGACAAGGGAGGTTGGCCAGGCAGGAAGGGCCTAAAGGAGGACTCCAGAGCATGTCTGGCCCATCTCGCAGCAACCTAATCTACTGGTTGGAGCGTCTGCCTCCTGGTGGTCAGTGCATGTCATAACAGCTGATTGACCACTTGACTGCCTGCCCCCTGGTGGTGAGTGCATGTCATAGTAAACGATTGAGCGGCCTTAGCATTATCATTAGTATATTATGCTTTGACTGATTGAACAGCTGACCAGACAACCAGACACTTTCATTTAAATAGGATAAGACATTGTGAATGTCAAATCCAATGATACAGATAAAAAATGGTTAATTTAAAAAACAGACACTATCTCAAAATCTCTCTTATAAAACTGTTTAACATAAAGAAAGTTGATTGACCCTATCTGAATGGTAAAATCCCTAAATATAAATATACACCTTTAGCATAGTGTGTGTGTGTGTGTGTGTGTGTGTGTGTGTGTGTGTGTATGTGTGTGGTGTGAGAAAAGGAACTATATTAGATGTCAGTAGTTCAAATGAGGTATATTAAGGCATAATATTCTTTAATGTTGTAAATAAATTCCATGTTTTCACAGCCATTAATTTAAATGGGCGAATTTTAGATTTCAGGGGTTAAAAGAACATACTCTCTGGTACTTTCATTTACTAACAGAATAATATTTTTTTATTTCAGTGATAGAAAACATGAAGAAAGCATTGAAACTTATTCAATCAGAGTTATAAGAGATTACCTCGAGGAGGTCAAATGTCATGAAGACGACCTTCTGGTGAACTTACTAATACTAAATGTGCAACTACATGGCCTCTGTAATGTTACTATTTAGATTTTTAATGTGTTTGAAATATTCTTTATAAAGGTAAAGTGACATTTCAATAAAGGTCAAAACCTGAGCATAATAAGGTAGCACCAGCTTGACTTCCGTCTGTATCAGTAGCAAAGGAAGCTTGCCACGAACAGGGAGTGAGATTAGGGTAGAGAACGGGCGCTCCTCCTGTCTCTCCACCATGTGATCTAAGTTTAATTCTGCTCCTCCACTGTACTGAACCTGCCGGCGTAAATCATTAGTAATGGGCATGCTGCCAGAGGAGATGGAGACACTGGCTATTTGCACTTTTTACAGCATCTCTCAGAGTTAACCATTTGCTTCTTTTCTTACCTTAAATTTAAAAATTAACTGTAATAAATTTAAAACATACTGGAAAATTTTAACTGTGTGTTTTCCTTAATTATTCCTTAATTATTGGGTGGATCTGCAATACCAGTATTTTTAATAATTTTAGGAAAAGTGTCCCTGCCTCTAGAAGACTGAAAATGTTTTCCAGATAACTGGCAGGAGAGGGTTACATCCCTTCGGAAATTATCAAACACACAACTGCCAGATCAATTCTTCACACAAAGCTCTGGAGGATCAGTACCATGTCTTCTATTCCTTTAAATTCCTAATTTTTTTAATAGAAAAACTTCCCAGAATCTGCTGGGAGAAATTCTCAGAAGTGAGAGAGTGTTTGAGACAGACCAAAATGTTCCCAACCCATTGGACTTGATTGAATTAAAATAATTTTAATTATTTTGATATATAAAAGTGCACTTTAATATGAGATAAATGTGTAAAAATACAATGTCTATGACATAGATTTTTTTTATTAATTCCAATGTTTCATGATTCAGGAAAAAAAAAGTTTTTCCAAGTTTTATTTTATCACTATTCCATTCGCTTTAGTATCTGACTTATTGGATATGAGGAGTTTACCTGACCAATAACTAGATATCAGTGCTAGATATCCATGTGGAAAAGAATATTAAATATCTTATTTTAAGTTTTTAAATTTTAGACCAAAGTCTGGAAGTTGATTTTTTTAATGAAAGCTAAGACATCCAAGTGCATTGGCATTCTATAACTTAATGACTTAAAATATGATAACTAAGGTAATATAGCTGATTCCATTGTTGCATTAGTAATGCAGAGGCAGAAAATGTCAGTGGTCATTTGCTGTGAAGTAAGAAAAGGTCAATTGCTTTTTTAAGAACTAATAAATAAAATAAAACGTTCACTATTTTTTCTCAATTATCATTCCTCAATTACTGAATGATAAGTTTATTCTTCTTTATCACAAAAATGTAGGTGCCTTTGTATTTAAACATACATGTGATTATATGTTATTATATGCAATTTAATTGTGGATATAATCATAGAGGCTAATATTTAATATACATATACACCACAATCATTTAGTTAGTTACATTAGTCAGTATAATCTTGTAACCAGTTCAGTTTTGTTCTCTACCCTACTTCAACAATTTAACTCTTTATCCTACTTGATATTTCTATATAATTTCTTCACTTTATGAAATTAGTGGTTTAGATTTTATCAATTCTGAGGTTACCCCTAACTTCGAAATGTAGAACTGTCTTTAGAATATATATATATACAGGATGGAGCAAAAGTTGGTCTACAGTTGTTCATATGGGAAAAAAATATACTAATAAATAATCAGACAAGAATAAACTGTGTTTCACATACTCACAGATATAAACCTACTTTGCCACACACTGTGTGATTTCCACTTCTCTTAGCCCTGTAAGCTCCAGAAATTATTTATTCTTTTTTCAGTGCATCCGGTGTTAAGAATTAAATTACTAACATCAACTACCTGAAATAGCACGCTCATCTCTGTGTACAGGGATATTTACAAAGAAGCGTTCAGAGCTCTCATTTGCATTTTAAAGAGATATAGCAGTCAAAAAAGTTACAGATCAAAAAAAAAAAAAGATTAAAATAGTCGGTAAAGGATATCAGTTTGATTTAAATTGGAGATAAACAAAAATGTTTTAATATAAGTATATACTGTGCAATTTTAAGACCTACTTATACTAAAAATGTATTCGTTTGTGTGAAATTCAAATTTAACTGAGAGACCTGTACTTTCATTTGCTATCCACAGCAACCCTCAGTTAGAATGACTGTGCTAGATGTTCCTTCTTCTCCTCCTCATTCTCTTTCCCCTTACTTTTTTTGCCTAAAATAGCAACATTTCTTTTATATTTCAATTCAATCTCTCAATTTCTGAGTTTGAAAAAATACTCAATTATTTTATAGCATTTAATATTTCCCAAATATTCAAACATTTCATTTCTACTCTTCACCAGACTCTGAGTTTGGTATTGTGGACCAAAAGACAAACTAGATCAAAATAGGCAATGTTGTTCCCCTGCAATATTCATAGGTTAGGGATAAGATCTACAATGATGGAAATAACTCCATGTTATGTAATGTAATAGGATGATGTAGGAGCAGCGAACAGCTGGCCCAACCTTCTCATAGGGTTGTGAGGCTTCACATAGATGCAGAACCTGTGAATCTTGAATGATACAAGGATGTATCCCACCATGGAGAAATCAGTACAATGAAACCGAGAATAAGGCATAATGTAGGGGCTCAGTGAATTCTTGTTCACTGGGTTAATTTCAAAATACAAAAGTAGGCAGAGTTTTTTTGGTAGTCTTTCAAAAGTTTCAATTAGGCTTAGAAAGATATTGTGCCAAGCTTAAACAAACTTACCTTTTAACATATTGATTTACAGCCTATAAAGATTTATAGAGATTTGCTTGTGAGTTTACAATAGTAATCCTTAAAACACATTGCACTTAAAATGGTACGTAATACACAGTATGTTTATTTACAAACATCCTTGGTAAGTAAAAGATAAGCTTTCCCCCCATTTTTAAAAAGAATTATTTCTTGTTCTAGCTGGTTTTCTCAGTGGTTAGAGCCTCTGCCCAGGGACTGAAGGGTCTTGGGTTTAATTCTGGTCAAGGGCATGTACCTCGGTTGTAGGTTCAATCCATGCTGCCTGCCAAGGCATGTAGGAGGCAATCAATAGATGTGTGTCTCTCTCTCTCACATTGATATTTCTCTCTGTGTGTCTCTCCTCCTCCCTTCCACTCTAAAAATCAATGGGAAAAAATATCCTTGGGTGAGGATTTTAAAAATATGTTTCTTATACAATGTCTGTCTTTTTCACTAAATGGAAAGCCCCTGAAAGTTCTCTGTCCCTCTCTCTCTCTCTCTCTCTCTCTCTCTCTCTCTCTCTCTCTCTCTCTCTCTCTCTCTCTCTCTCATTCTCTCTCTCTCTCTCTCTCTCTCTCTCTCTCTCTCTCTCTCACACACACACACACACACACACAAGCGTACTTAACAAACTGTGAATTTTGAGCAAGCATTCACAGTAGTATGCCATTAGATGTGTAATTCCCCTGGTGTTTTCAGTGATTAACTGTGAATTCTACTTTGTAAACATCATTTCATAAGAGATTAAACAAATCCACTGTCTACAACTTTGTAATCATGCAACTGGATTTTTCCCCAATCAATTACTGTACATTATGGAAGTATATTAGCATTATTTCCAGGACAAGACACTTTCTATTTAAATTTTATGCACCCCTCCCCCCCCCCCAATATTCATAGGCCTACATCCAGCACCTCAGAATTTGACCCTGTTTGGAAATAGAGTCGATGAAGACAGAATTCATTGTTAAGATGAGGTCATATCAGAGTAAGATGGATCCCTGATCTGATATGACTGGTTCCCTCATGAAGAGAGGGAACTTAGACACAGACTTGCACTCAGAGAGAACATCTGACAAAGACGAAGGCAGAGATCTGGGCCAGACAACGGAAGCCATGGAACCACCATAAGGTCGGTGAGAGGCATGGAACAGATTTGCCCTCGCAGCCCAAGAAGGAAGCAGTCTTGGCATCACCTTGGTGAGACTTCTAGCCTCTGGGAGTAGGAGGCAATACGCTTCTGTTGTAAGTCTCCTTGTGTGTGGTATTTTGTTACGACAGCTCTGGCAAACCAAAGCAGTTGCTTTCCCTCCCTTCCCCAATGTGCATGCTTTCCGTGAGTAAGGGGACACCAACTCTTCCCATCACACACATTAAAAGCAGCCCTGCTAGAATGGAAGAATCATGTCTTGCAGTAAGTTTGTCAGGTTCCAGTTTTACTCTCCAAACAAATTTCTGCCCACTCACATGTTATTTCCGTCCTCAAAGAGTTTTATAAAACAAGTTCATTTCGTCGGGTTTATGAAATATCTAAAGCCAATGCTGTGCTTCTTGATTCAAAAGCAAAAGTCATTCCCAGAGAAAGAGCCGATTCTTCTATTTGGTGCTTTTCGTTATTATTAAAGCAAACATAAGTTGAACCCTTTCTATGTTCTGGTCACTGTGCTGAGGTCCTTGCATGGATTATCTCATTAATGTCCCATCATAAATGTACAACACTGTTATTCTCATTTCACTAATGTGTGAGCTGAGTTCTGAAGGTATTCTATAACTTAAAAAAAAAAAAAAAATTCACAGCTAATTATCAAGACAGTACTCAAATTCCAAGTCAGCACACTTCACCACCATAATATTCTGCTTTAGAGTTGCAGGTTATCAAACCCTAAGATTTAACCAAAACTGTTTCAATGTGCAACAACTGAAAATATTCAGAACACATCCTTTGTAAAAGAACAGTATATCCTTTTAAAAAGAACTGTTCTCATTGATTTCAAGTAACATTTTGTAGAAAAAATTGTAGACACTGCTGCCATTCTCAGCTTTGAGCCTCCAAAGGACAAGGTTCCATTGGCTTTGGGCGACTTAGGGTAACTTTGATGCTCAACTTGAGAATCCTGGGAGAGGAGGGACAGGATGGTGTAATTCCAATATTCTTAACACACCCCCTCATTGAAAATTCCTGATCTAAATGATCTGTTCTTCGTACTCTGTCATGTTATGCCCTGTACCCAGAGGACAAT